TGAGGACCCTAACAATAGAGCTGAAACCTGAAGCAATCTGGTGACATTCCAAGTTTTTGAATGGAATGTGAATCCATTAAAATTATTAGGTAACTTTATTGATATCCTCAACTTTGTGCCAAATGTTAAAGCTGCCAAAGAAAAGAGAGAACAAAAAACTGGCTCTTAGATTCCAACTCTTAATATTTCAGTATGGAAACTGTATTTTCTTGTAGCTCACTTAAAAACCATACCATGTTTTCATTGTTTAATTGCAATCTCAGTTTTCAGGAAGCAAAGAGAAATGAAAAACATAATCAATGTTTCTCTTCCGTTGGGCTTTCAGCCTAAATAGTCCTGTACTTTTATGGGCAAAGCAGGACAGGTACTAACAGTGAACAAGAGACCTATTCTAAGAAGTACTGGCTCAAGTAAAGTACCACTACATCATCAGTGACTCAACCATCTACTCAAGAGCGATTACTCTGCAACTGTGAAGCAATGGTAATTGGATAATGGCTTGTTGCCAGCTCATGTTGGCATGATCTACAATACCCTTGGCCGGCAGCCATTCTGCCTCTTTAGCACACCTTTTTTTTTTTTTTTTTTTTTATTAAATCTGGATGGGAAGTGAAATAATTAAAAAAAAAAACCCCTCCTGAATGCTATTTAACTTCTTATCATGAATTAAAAGTTTAATTAAGTAACCTGTTGAAGGCCTAGGTCCTATGATTAAATATGACAAAATAATAGTTATGATTACTGATCAAGAGAGGAACTTTACAGCTCTGAACTTTGTCTTTAAAGCTATTATTAATTTTAATTGAAATAGCTAAGAGTTGCCCATAAAAAGGAAAAAGAAAAAACTGCCAGGGATATTTTGTTCATATATAGGAAATAGTTTTAAAATGAATAGAATGTGAAATAGGAAAAAAAGGGGCAAAGGGGAAGGGAAAGTGGTAGGGGTAGGGGAAAGGAAAGAAGGGAATGGAATTAATATGAGAAAATGAACAAATGGAAACAAAGTCTTTGTAAATAGGGAGGGATGGAGGGGTTGAAGGGAATGCAGGGGAAGGGGGAAAAAATAAGAACCATGAGAGATTATGTAAAGGTGCAAATTTCCAATGATGAATGTCATTATATTGTATACTTAAAATGTACCAATAAAATAAAATTTAAAAAAATGAATAGATACATTGGTAACTAATTTAATAAAATTGAATGTAAAAACTTTGTTAAAGGCCTTGGTAGGTGATTATTGTAATCATCTCATATCAAATAGAGATAAACAGGTAAGGTGAAAAGAAACCTTAAAACTAGCTTTGAAATCAGGTCACTTAAAAATAATTTTTAGGTATGTCTTAGGTTTTTGTCTATTCAACTCCTACTACTATGCCAAAAGAGGAACACATTTCTGCTTAAGTTTCTTTAAATAGGACTTACTGGCCTCAGGACTTAAAAAAAATGTAAGAGGTTTGAAAACAGCTTATTCCTCTCAGTTTTAAAATTAGCTATTGCAATGGCTATTTTCACAGTAGATTTCCCTCCCTCGGTATCAGCATCATCTTGTAGCCTTCAGAGATGCAATCACAATGGTATTTGCTCTCCTTTTCATGCCTCTGCTTCACTGCATCTCATCTGAGACAGAGGCCCAGATTTCAGGGTTGGAAGTCACCTTTGTGTTACTATAAATACATTCTTCCTTTAGGCATTTCAGAATTATCAGCATGATTCTAGGACTTGAAAACTCCTTACTTGCCAGCAAGTAGCTACCTAGAATATTCTGACTTATTTATTTGCTTTTTTTCATCTGCTGCCAAGTCTCACTAATGCAACTTGGAAAATTACACCATAGCTTTTAATGAGGATTCTGAGGTAAGAGCCATTTCATCAGAGAAGACCGTTCTTCCCTTTTAGGGGAATAATAACATCTACTGTTTCTATAGCACTATCTTTCCAAGAAGTAGACATATTATGTTTCATTAATCTGAACAGCAGCCTGGCAAGTCAAGCTGGGAACTAGTACTGTTACTCCCTGCACACTCATATTGAAATTGAGGTCATTAAATGTGAAATACTTTTCTCAAAATGTTAAAAGCTTCTGAAATGGTTAAAGAGCCATGGTCTACCTGCATCGTCTACAATCTGCGTTCTGTGTTATTAAATACTCCAGTGGTCCTACGGGTTTTTAACTGCTACCTTTCGTGCCTGTAAGACATTTTCTGAGAACTCAGGGAGTAGTGACAAAAATAAGTAATAGAATTGAGCAGGCTCCTCTTCAGAGTCCTATGGCTTTCCTGAACAGCTTGCCTTCCTTTTCTATGGCCTTACCCTGTCTCTCAATCCAAACATCTTTCCTCTCTTCTGAGCCAGTAGGATTTCATCCCTCTCCCTCCAGCAAGAACCTAACAAAGGTTAGGCCTCCTAACAGTTATGGAACCACAGAGGAAAATGCCACTGGGGCTGTTTTGAAGATCTCACCAACAAGAAACTGAAGAGCTAGATTCTTAACAGTGAGAATTAATGTTTTGTAAGGAAGAAAAACCAATGTCTAGTTATAGCTGAAGATTGCAGGAACATGAACAGTCAGAATGTTTTAATGGTTTGGAGGATATACTTGATAGAGGAACAATAGTCATTTTACAAGGCTAGAAAGCAAGCAAATCAACACAAAACAAATTCTCACTTAACATCCAATATACCCAAAAAAGTCAAATACATGTTAGTGGAATGTCTACAGTGTGCCTCTTATTTTAAATAAGAGTGTGCCATGGAAATAAACAATTATTAGGGATTTGATCTAAAAAGAAATTTCAAGGATATGTCATATACATTTATATCCTGGTTTCTTTTATGTTTTGCTGCATTGGTATTGTATTTTGATAAATAATTCAAGGACTTCAGAATTTTAGGGCTTCTGATGGCTAAGAACTGGGGCTCAGGCACACTGAGGAGACCAGGAGTCCAGTGCTAGATGGGAACACTTCTGGGCCTAGGGTATATGGTTCAGGGAGTCTCAAGATGAGGGTCCACAGAGCCACTGAAGAAAGACTAAGGTATATAAAATAGGGTTTTCATTTGTACATATATTTAAGTATCACTCAATTCTTTTGCAAATTGTAATGGTTTTCGAATCGATAATAGATAATAAATAAACGGTAAGCATCACTTTCTGTCCCAAGGTCATTCTAGATAACTGAAAGTTTTCCAGATGTTTCCAGGGAATTCTGGAGTTGGAGTAATAAAGCCATTCCTGCTTCTATCTAAAGAAGAAAGGGAATTATGCTTGATGAATGCCGACTCTGGCACAAGCCCTGTGCTGAAAACTTTTACATTTCTTATCTTGGCTGACCCTCATGGCAACCCACCTACTGGTTAAGTATGTTCCCAGTAGTGTAGGTGAGAAAAATCCAGCTTGAAATCCCCCAGCCACACCACAGCTGCCAATTTGGAGCCTTCTCAAGTTACCTGGTATATAATGCTCTATACCCTACCCCAGCTCCAGTTATTTCATCTTCCACCAATTTGTCCTTTTCGTTCTAGTATCTCTCTAGCTGTCTGGGTACTAGTGGCATGAGGAGTGTTAATGCAGCATTTTATGGTAAGTACAGAAAAAAAGATACTAATGTGAAAATACAGAGTGTGTGTGCAGCTCTCACATTTATCAGGCAGGCACCCTGCTGCTCTACTGCTTAACAAGGGACTGAAATCTGGTGACCTTTCTACTCGGTTTCACCCTAATCTTGTTTGCTTATTTTTTTTGGTAGTGGGATTGATACCAGATAGGCCTTGCTGATGCTAGTTAAGTGCTCTATCAGTGTCTTTTTTTTGAAGAGGGTGGTAGGGGTGCGGGGGATTGAACCTAGGGCCTTGTACGTGCTAGGCAAGCACTCTACTGTTGAGCTACATTCCCAGCCTTGTATATTTGATTTTTTATGCTAGATTTGTATACTTTTTGGTGGAGCAGGTGTTCACCCCATTGCTTCCTATTGTTTCTACACCACCTGCTTTTCCCATTAATATTATTTGCCAGGTCTCTGAAGGCATCTGGGTTAGTGACCTTTGGGATTTAATGGTAGTTATAATCATTAGCACCTCATGTCCAAGTGATGGGTCTCTGGTTTCTCCCCAGACTGCTGTGAAGAGTTGCTCAGCAGTCAGTGTACAGTGCTGGGACTCTGTTTGTAAAGGACTGTGGATGTCAGCTATACCACCAGGAGCTGTGCAGTAAATGGCTGGTGGTAGTGCATAGGAAGTGGCTGCCCTGAGCACAAAGCCTAAGGATGCTCAGTATTATCCTTATCCCATGACAACAGAGAGAAGTCAGGATGATTGAAGAAGAGGAATTATATACACATTTCAAAGGGTGATCAGTTTTACACTTTACTATGATGAAGCCCATCCTTTGAGTTCCTGCAGCTCAAAACATCCAATTGAATGTCATCTCTGGACACTGCAGGTCCAGTTACTGCTGTCCCCAGAGTAATGAAATGATTGTAGTCACTAAAGTAATTAAGAAACCTGAGTAGGGTATTTTCAACAGTGGTGAAAAAAGCAAGGTTATGCTTCTTAGAATCTCAGTGTATTAACAGTGAGAATTACTGGTTGTTTGTATTTTTTTCCCTAGGTGAGGAAGGCACTGTGAATGCTTTCATTTTTTTATTCTCAAGAGAACTCTAGTATTCCTTAAACGATTTGAAAGACAGAAAGCATAGCAGTGATTCAGATCTGACATCCAGGACTATACCCAATATCGCCTGAACTAGTCAAAACCTGAAGTTTAAGTGAACTCGAAACTATGATTGGCCAAGTCCCAAGTAAGGTTCAGCTCCCTTAAAGAAACATGCTGTGTTCATATTCATGCCTCTGAGATGTCAAGTGTATCAAACAGAAACCAGCTATGCTACAAGCCTAACGTGGGCGACTGAGACATCCATGTGGCACAGGGTACACTTCCTAGCTTCTCTCAGTTTTCAACAAACCTCTTTTAACAACCACACAAACCAACTAAATTACCGTACCTCTTCAGGCAAGCTGACCACCAAGTCATTTTTTGTCTGTCCAACCAGTGCCTGCCAGAAGTATTCACTGCATGCAGCCAGCACAGCCCGGTGGGCTCGGAACTCCTTCCTCTCCACGATCAGAGTCACGTCACAGAGAATATCCTTTTTCCGCTGGTCATTGAGGCCCAGGAGGATGTTGGTGCAGTGGACTGTGGACTCATACACATACATGGGGGAGTCAGTCTTCTCATCCACAGACATGCCGTTCACACCCTAAAAGAAAGAAAGGCTGAGTCACCACCAGTCTCAGTCACAGACAGAAGGCAAGAAACAACATCCCCACTCCTGGGTTCCACTGCCATGAGCTGGGCAGAAAGGTGCAGAATTGCCAATCACCACATTCACAGTCCGTTAACACAATGAGGTCAGAAAACATATCTGGAAAGTCAAGTTTGATGGCTGTCTTGTATCCTTTCTACTCACTGCATTCTTTCATTCCTTGGTAACAAAGCCAGACCTTTCAAGAAAACACTTAAAACATTTAATATAAACACACAACACACACACATTTTAGAATGTGTAGTTTTGATTTTGTTAAGAAGGTGAAGCAGAACTTTCACATATAAACAGTCCTAATTTAAGTACTAATTGAAATTTGTGCTAAAAGGAAATGAATCATTTTGAAGTATTTGAAATGCTGTTTTGATGAAGTACATGTAAGTTCCCAAGTTGAAGTTGACTAAGCTGCCAAGTAGAGTATCTAATCATAATATGCAATTTAACAGGTGAACTAAACTGTATGCACACTGAAGCATAAAAATAGTCAGCTGTTGTATCTGCCCTCTGCCACCTTAAGATAAAGCACAACCAACACAATGCAACTGTTGCTTGGCCACAGATGTAGAATTGTGCTGTTATTATCCCAGCACCATTACTGAAGCAAATCCTCTTTAAGGAAACAATTTATCACAACAGGGGTCGTATAAAGGTGTATTCAAAATGAGGATTACATTTATAAAAGTCTTCTTCATTTTAAAACGTATCCTTTGAAGATACTGTATTTCTACCTTAAAACAGAGTATCCATAATTAATTTATATAACATGGTTTTTGTTTACTACTCACAAATTCAAATAGTAAGTTCTTTCTTTTTGGATTTATTCTTATTTTTTAGAACAGCTTTAACATACAATGATTATGTTATTACACAGAGTTATAGTGTGTATGATGTTCTGACATATGTATGTGGCTGGAGAACATGCCCATTACCACCAGAAGTCTCCGTAAGCCCCTCACCAGTTCCCTCCTTGTACCTTTCAGTCCCCCTAGGGTTATATATAAGTGGAATCATACAGTCCTTACATCTGGCTTCTTTTACTTGACATAGTTATTTTCCTATTTATTCATGTTGTGGAATGTATCAAAAGTCTGTTCTGTTATTGGTGTATCATGTTCTAGTGTCTGAATACATTTTGAAAAATGTATTCATCTATTGATGGATATTTGGGTTTCCAGTTTTTGGTTATTACAAATAAAGCTGTTGTGAACAATAGTTTATAAGACTTTGTATGAATATATACTTCAATTTCCCTTGGGTAAGTACCTATGAGTAGAGTGGATGGATCAAATTGTATAGATAAATTTAACTTTTTAAGAAATTGCCACTGTTTTCTAAAGTGGTTGGCCCATTTTATATTTCTCCAGAAGCATATGAGATTTCTAGTTCTTTCACATCTTTGACTGCATTTGGTATGGCCAATCTTTCTAATTTTGGGCTTTCTAATAGGTATAATATGATACCTCCTTGTGGTTTTAATTTGCTTTCTCTAATGTTTTAAGATGTTGAGCATCTTTCACATGCTTATTTGCCCTCTGTATATCTTCTTTGGCAAGATGTTTATTCAGGTTCTTTGCCCATTTTAATTGGGTTGTTTGTTTACTTATTATGGAATTTTGAGAGTTAATATGTTCTGAATAAAAGTCTCTTATATGATTTGTAAATATTTTTCACAGACTTCTGTAGCTTCTCTTTTCATTCTCTTCATAGTGATTTCAAAGAGTAGAAAGTATTCATTTGGTGAAGCTGAATTTATCAATTATTTTCTTTTATGGTTTGTGTTTTTGGTGCCATATCTAAATAAATCTTTGCCTAAACCAGTCACAAAGATTTTCTCCTATTTTTGTGGCTAGAATTATTGTTATTTTTTAGCATTTACATTTAGGTATTTGATCATTTTGAGTTAATTTTTGTATATGTTACAAGATATGAATTGAGGTTCTTTTTTTTTTTGAATTGTTCCAGGACTACAATTACTGTACCGAATTGCCTTTGTATCTTTATTGAAAATCAGTTGTCTATATATGTGATCTATTTATGGATTCTTTTTTCCATTTATCAAGCTGCCTATCTTTATGCCACTGCCACAATGTATCAATCTGCTCTTTTTCAAAGTTAGTTTGATTCTCTACATATCCATATACATTTTAAAATTAGTTTGCCAACATCTACAAAATAGTCTGTTGAGATTTATACTAGGCTTGTACTGAGTCTATTGATCAATTTGGGAAGAACAGTCATCCAAATAATAATGAATCTATTTATCTTTAATCTTTCCCAGAAATGCTTTTATAATCCCAGAAATGTTTTATACTTAAGTATTAATATGTTTGATGCCATTGTAAATGGTATTTTTAAAAATTCCAATTGCTGGGCCGGGGATTTAGCTCAGTGGTTCCGGCGCCTGCCTAACAAGCGCAAGGTCCTGAGTTCGATCCCCGGTACCAAAAAAAAAAAAAAATTCCAATTGCTGGTTTTTCATTGCTAATATACAAATACAAATAATTATCATTATTTTGTGTGGTTCTGGAGATCCTAGCTTCTTTTCTTAGGTTCCACATAACTTTCTACATTGAAGATTATGTGATCTGTAAATAAAGACATTTCTTTTAATTCAGATGATTAGTTGTATCTTTTTTGTTTGTTTGTTTATTTTTGCTTGATTATGTTGGGCGGAACCTCTATTACCATGTTGAACAGAGGTGATGAGGACCTTTCCTTCCTGGTGTTAAGAGGAAAAGATTTGGTTTTTACCATTATATGTGATGTTGGTAATAGGTGCTGCATAGATGCTGCTATTAAACTGAGAGTCTCTTTCTATTCCTAGTGCTGGAGTTTTCTTTTTTTAAAAAATTAGAAATATATGTTGGATTTGTCAAATGCGTTTTCTGCATCTACTGAGATAATCCTAGTTTTTCATTTTAGTTCATGGCGAATAATACTGATTGATTTTAGAATGTTAAATCAACCTTGCATTAATAGGCTAAACTCCACTGGTTATGATGTCTTTCCTTTCTTATACATCGTTGGATTCAGTTTGCTAACATCTTACATCTATGCTAACTGACATTTTTCAGTAGTCCTTTTGGTCTGGTTTAAAAGGATCAGAATAATGATCATTTAATAAAGTGAGCTGGGAACTATTTCTTCTTCTTCAACTTCCTAGAAGTGGTTTCTTTTCTTTTCTTTTTCTTTTTTTGTAGAATTGTTATTTCTTCCCCAAATGTCTCATAGAATTTACTTGTGAAGCCTTCTGAGCCTGGAACTTGCTTAAATTAAAAATCAATTAAAAAATCTGTTAAATCTATTGGCATAAAATTGTAAATATTTTTCTATTTTCCTTTTACTATCAGTAAAACCCATACTGATGTCTCATCTCATATTCCTGATCACTGGAAATTTGTGTCTTCTCTGTTTTTTTTCTTTCTTTCTTTCTCTCATCAGTCTGGCTGGAGGTTTAATTATTTTATTTATATTCTCAAAGAACTAATTTTTGGTTAAATTGATTTTGTTCTCTGTTTCATTGATTTCTACTTCATTGATTTCTATTCTCAGTGTTATATGCTTTACTCTGCCAACATTGAATTTAATTTGCTCTTTCCTCCAACGAATTTTCTAAGGTGGAAGATGAACTCATTGATCTGACATCTTTTATCTTTTCTAACATTAGTTTTATTGCTATAAATTTCACTGATTTACCAATATCTCATATATTTTGAAATGCTTAATTTTGATTTTTAGTCAGCTCAGAATGTTTGTAAATTTTGCTGTTGATTTTTACCTTGACACATAAGTTATCTATAAATGTGATATAAATGTTTCTAAACATTAGGGGGAGTTCCTAGGTATCTTTTTGTTACTTTCTTTGACTTAATTCCATTGCGGTCAGAGAACAAATTTTGTATGAGTTTAATCCTTTTAAATTTATACATACTTGTTTTATATATATATTCCTTTTGCTGAAAGAACCTTCTTTAACATTGCTTGCAGTGCAGGTATGCTAATGATTAGTTCTGTCAGCTTTTGCTTCTCTGAAAAAATCTTACTGCCTTCATTTTTGAAAATTATCTTTGTGGGTTATAGATTTTAGATTCACAGTTTTTGTTCTCTTTCCTTTCAGCACTTTGAAAGATGTCATTCCATGTCTTTTTCACTGTTTTCACTTTTTCATTGTTCATTGAAAAATCTGTCATCCTTACCTTTGTTCCTCTGTGTATAACGTGTTTTTTCCTTCTGCTGCGTTTAAGATTTTCTCTTTATCACTTTTTTTGGAGCAATTTGATTACGATGTGCCTTGGTATAGTTTTCTTCATGTTTCTTGAGCGTCTTGGATCTGTGGGTGTACAGTTTTCAACAAATTTGGAAAACATCAGTCATTTTAAAAAATATTTTTGCCACATAGTTTTCCTGTCTCCTCCCTTATTCTCCTTAAGGCAGTTCAGTTAGACATATATTAGACCACCTGAAGTTGTACCACAGCTCTAAAATTCACATTTATTTTTATTTATTTATTTATCTTTCTATTCCTGGCTAAAGTTCACTTTTAATTTTTGATACTTTTCTCTCTTACGTTTAACTTTGGATAGTTTCCATTGCTAGACTCTCAAGTTCATCACTCTTCTTCTGAAATGTCTAATCTGTCATTAATCACTTCCCATATAATTTTTTTTTTTTTGGTACCGGGGATTGAACTGGGGTCCTTGAGCTTCTGCTCCCATGTAGTTTTTATTCAGACACTGTGGTCCTCATCTCAAAAGTCCAATTTGGGTCTTTTAAAATTTCTTCCACACCTTTGCTTAAGATGTTCAATTATTCCTATAACTTCTTAACATGTGGAATAACGTTATAATAACAATATCAGTGGTCTTTGTTAATTCTAACATTGTATCGCTTCTGGCTCAGTTTGTTATTTCTCTCAATTGTGAGTCACATTTTCTTGGACTTTTTAAATTGGATGTAATACATTTGTATGCACATTTTACAACTTTTAGATTCAATTTTTTTGTGTGCTGGCATTTAGTCTAGTGCTCTGTGTCTCCCACTATGGATTCAAGACACTTTACTAAGTACTTTATCTAATGTCTGATGAAATGTGGGTTTTCTAGTCTGGTTGGTAGGAATACATGTTAGTCGCAGTTTTCTCTGAACTCTAAGATTCCTCTATTTTGGGTGGTTCTCTTCCCATTCTTGGAAAGTTTCCTCACACACATGTGCTGAGCAGCACTCTGCAGAATGCTGAAGGGGAACTCTGCAACAAATCTCTGGAGTTCTTTCTCTGTGCAGCTCTCTCTTCCTTGCTATCCTACTTTCCAAACTCTAGCCACTGTCATCTCTCTAGACTTATCTCTGTCTCCTCAGCTTGGGAGTCAGCCAGCAATTCCTCGACTCCTCCTTTCTGTGCCATGGTCTGGAAACTCCCAGTTTCTTTTACTTTTCTTTTCCTTTCTTTTCTGTTTTTGTTTCGTTTTACTTTTATTTTTGTCTTTTGGGGATTACTTTCCTTTCTTACCTCATGTCTAATGTCTTGAAGACTACTGTCTCATATTTTATTTACAGTTATTTCAGGGTGTGTAAATATAGTGCCTGTTACTCTATTTTGGCTGGAGGCAAACTCCTGGATTTATTCTTTATATTATAATTATTCTAAGTACTTTACAAATAATAACATTATGTTGTTAGCCATTTGGTATAAACTTTGCTCTGTTAACTAATTGCCCCTTTAAATACCTAATTACAAAAAATATTTCTCTAAAGAAAAATAATTAATCCTTTGGTGTTTCAAGAAAAGGTATTTGTGAGGTTTATGAACTAGAATCCCTTAAAAATGTAATCAAAATAGTATTCTAAATGACACAATTCAGTTATAACGACCCTGAGCCTTAAAGTAAGGTTAAAGTCATTTGGTTTCTGTTTATGACTAGGAAATCATTGGTAAATTCTTTTTTATCTAGTAAGAAGAAAAACATTTTCTATTCTGTCTTGTTAGTCTTTCAATTCTTAGAATGTTGTCAGGATTTTCTTATCTCCCACACAGGGCCTCGATTCTTATTTATTTCCTCCATTCTTAATTCTAAAATTGTTACTCTTCCTCCTATCACATTCTATTTTCTCAATTGGTCTACAAAATGTATTGGCTTTAAAAATCATAATAGGTTGAAGGTAGCAGGCAAGACTCAAAACTGGACAGAACAATTAATGTTCTAGGACATAGATGATATGCTTAATTCATTAGAATTAGATTTACAAGGAATATCTCATTTTGTTCCCTTTTACTTATGTGTAATATATTTTAATGTACCTACACCATGATAGCAGCTTGCTTTGAAGAATACAAAGCCATAAATTCTTGAGTGAAACATGAAATGAAAGAAAATAAAAAGAGAAATGAAAGTGAAGTATGGCAGACTTATCTGTGGCACTGACCAGATTTGTGGATTTGGAAAAATTGTCTAAATTTGTTTGGTCTTGCTTCCATGTTTGTAAAATGAAAAGTATGGACCAGAAGACCAGTAATGTTCTTACAGATCTATAATTTTATGAGTCTAAGAGTCTATAAAAGCAAAACACCTACGTGATCACAGGGAGTTGGACTCTGTCATTTTAATAGAGAAAAATGAGCTTTCTTTGACTTTCTAAAGACCATTTATTTACCCAATTTTATAGTATGACTCAACAAAACTGTCTCTACAGAGCTGGTTGCAGGGAATGGGGTAGATAATATGTGAAGAAACAAAAGCATTCTAGGAAAGAAGCGAGATTCCAACCCCTGCTCTTTATAGATTCTAGGTGAAACGATCTGTTTGAATTAATCATGGTATCCTCAAGGGGGAGAACAAGTCACCTTAGGCAAGGTAACCTTTAGGAAATGGGAATCCAAGCCTCGGAGGACATTTTGACACACTACACCTGTGCTGTTAGCTTCTTCAGTCAATAACTCAAGAGATTTATTCTGGGGGTCATAGCTGAGCAAGGAAATATGAACTAAAACAGGACATTACCCTGGAACACGTTCCACTGACGTGTGAATAGGGGTTCAACCACCTCATAACAACAGCAGAAACAAGGGTGTTTTGCCAGGTAGGGGCAGTCATTAATAGTGGTGAGGGCTGGGGATTTAGCTCAGTGGTTCTGCCGCCTGCCTCGCAAGCGCAAGGACCTGAGTTCAATCCCCCGTACCAAAAACAAAAACAAAACAAAACATTAATAGTGGTGAAGCAAGGCAGTGTGCAGACAATCAGATGCTAGGTCACAAGCAAGACTGAGTTCTTTCTTGGATCTCAGACAGCCTCCATATTCAGCTAACAGGGCAGGTTTGGGAAAATAAGGAAGATGTGGCTGTGTATACCCTCCAAGTTGATGAAGTAGGCCATGAGAGTCACATAAACATGGACATCTGCTCTTTTGGCTAAATCTTCCAGAGAGTTTTGGAAGATGTTTAAACAGTATTAGTTTTGCTCAAAGAGTATTATCAGAAATCTGTCATTATCTGTAGTTTCTGCTAGGTTTAGTCTGTCTGAGGATTTTCTTGATTTTATGACATTATTCCTTCTTTCTGCCATGCCAGTTCTACTCTCTCCCTCTTGGCTTTCATGTTTCTATTGAGTTCTGTCGCACCTTTCCCTGTAGACCCCTCTTCAAGCATCATTCTGTTTCTGCAGCCCTTCCTATTCTCCAGTTATCTAGGGTGCTCTTCTACAAACTCCTCCAATCTGTCTTTTTTGACCTACCACTATCAAAGTGAATTCTGCTTTTCTTATCACTGTATTAGATATTTTAAAACCTGCTTTACTGATATTTATTAACATTTTCAACCTAGTGCCGCAAATCCTCAAATCTTCAGCAAGACCCATGGGATCTAAGAATGAAATACTTTACAGTATAGTGAGTAACAAAGCCCAGAATAGCATGTAGGCGTCTGACAGTCAGTCTTTAAGCATTAGACAATGTGTTAAAGTATGTAGACATTAGCTGAAATCAGATTGTAAGAAAGCTTTCCAAAGGTTCTGATTTGGGTTTTGGCTGGATCTCATTCTTCTCTCTGTAGGCCAAAAACCCCAGCTGCACATGTACATACATACATACTCCAATAATTTGATCATATGGTTCAGCAGTAAAAGTTAAATACTATTATTCTATCATGGTATGTTCATCTCAAACTGATATCAATCAAAAGTACTGAATTAATGAATGCAGACTCATTAACTCATTCAATCTTCATTCATTCATTATTGGATCATATTCAGAAAATAAAATGTCTAACAGTTATGAAGGTAAAAGTATACATTAAAAAGTTAAAAAAATCCACAGCAGAAAATCTGAAAAGCTGTAATTCACAAAAAAGTAGAATGTTAAGTTTTATAGACAACCTGTCATGTCCAGAATGCTTCAGATGAAAAGAAATGAATATGCTTTGCAGGTAATGAAAAAGAAATTATAAACCATTTCATCTGAAATTTCAATCACATTTCTCCCAGAAACAGTGCATTAAGTAAATACTTCTATGAATAAAATACTAAATTATTTAGTCACTGCTGAGTAAATTTATGCTTTTATCAAAGCATTATTTTTCTTCAAAGTTATTTACTATAAATCCGTAAGGGTTAGTTTTTACAAAAGACAGTTACCAAGACTATAGAACTTTTAAGACTGCACAGTGCTGTTAAAATTACTCAGTTACCATTTTTTGCACTGGGAACACTTTAAAACTGCATCAAGACTCTAACTTCTTACTTAAAGTGGAAAGCAATCTAATTTCAGTACTTTGTAATGGAAAACTGTGCTTGTCACTTAATGTTGCTTAATGCCTTAGATAGCTAAAGTAATGGTCTGACGAGGAGCAGCTAAAATGTTTAGTGCTCTTTATTTACTCAAACACTGCATCTGAGTGCCTACTGGTTAGTGCTAAGGGAAGTGAAATTTAAGGCTGTTGTTAGGAGGAAGCACTTGCAATTGTATCATCAAATCCTTAACAGCTCCGAATGGTTCTTGCGCTTCAGTATAAACTTCCATTTTCCTTGACCTTTCAGAAGGAAGTTCAACTTACTGAGATAGTTTGTGACAATGTTTTTACCGCACAATTGAAAACTATATCAAAAAACTTAAGAGGGACAATTATAACGAATTTCACTTTTTTGTTATTTTCTTGGTTGATGTCATTTTTAAAAAATTTTTTATATTTTTGAGACAGGGTTTCACTTTGTAGTTTAGGCTGAACCTGAACTCACTACATAGTCCAGGCTGGTCTCAAACTCTTGGTGATCCTCCTGCCTCAGCCTCCTGAGTGCTGGGATTACAGGCATGCACCACCATGCCTGGGTCATGTCACTTATTCTT